CCTGCTTTGCTCCAAGAGGTGCCAGCCAGAGCTGCAGGCACCAGTTTGTGTCACTCCTGATTCCCTCAGGTGCTTTCCAGCACCAAGCCAGCCCTGTCCCTGTCTCCTCTCTGGTGGCACTATCCTGAGCTGCCAGCTCTGCCCTGAGTGCCCTCTGGGTGCAGATTTCTGCACAGCCTGACACTGGTCAGTCCTGGAACTGATGTGCTCCCTGCCAGGACCCAAGCTCACCCCAGGCTGGATGTGCCCCTGCAGGACCTTGTTGCTTTTCCCACAGTGCTGCTCCCTCACCCAGATCCCATCTGCTTCCAGGGTGCTGCTTCCCTTTTTTCCCTTCCCATGCCCTGAAAATCATCCTTCCCCCGTCTTTTACTCCCTGTCCTGTAATTAGAAGCAGCAGGCATCTCCCAGAGCACAGCTCTGTAGGGCTGGCTGCCTGCAGGACACCCAGAGCGAGACAGAGCACAAACTCTCCAGAGCAGAAATCCGTTCTGATTTAGGTGAAATGTACATCTTTGGGTCTGTGGCTGGAAAACACAGCTTTGTAGCCTGACTGCAAAGGCCTAGGCTCAGGGACACTGCTTCAGTGAAGGACAGAGAGAAGGGGGGAGACAGAGGGTGATAGAGAGAGACAGAGACTGCTGTGACAGCAGGCCAGCCTGACCTAGGAATTCTTCCTGATAAACAAGAACCAGCAGCGAATGTCACTGAAATTTGTAAAATGAGTATGTATGAACCTATTGTGAAACTGTATGCAGATGTATTTGAGAGGGGGATAAAAAGGGACCTGGAGTTCCCAGAAGCACACGTGGCTTTTAAGGAGAGCAATCTCCACATGCGTCCAGCGCTGCAATAATAAGCACACCAGCTTTACAGCTTCCACAAAGTTGTGGAGTTTTTGGCTCTCTCCGCAGAACAGGAGGCAGCTGCCCACAGGGCCATGCAGGAGCTGACAGGTGTGCTGGCAGGCAGGTACCACAGGAGCTGCAGCCAGGCTGGGTCTCTCTGAGCTCTGTGTGAGCCTCTGCGCCTCAGCTGCTGCCACTCCCTTGCCAAGGCAGGCAGGCTCTGCCCAGCTGTGCCCAGCAGCCTTTGAACAGCCCACAGCAGTGCCCAAGGGTCCATGCTCCTGCCGAGCCCTCTGGGCAGCAGAGAAAGGCCAGGGCTCCCCTGGGCTGGTCCCGCCACGCTGGCAGGGACCTGGGGCTCGGGGGAGTCGGGATGAACTCCCACCTGAGCTCTGCTGCACCTCTGCACTGCACAGGTACTGGAAAAATACCAACATAGCTGGGTGGGATGTGCCTTGGCTTGTCTGGCCCTTGCTGCTTGATCAAACACGGCAGCTGTGGTGTTTCACCCCACAGACACCTTTGGCTGGTGGCTGTGTGGTGTTTCACCCCACAGACACCTTTGGCTGTGCAATGTGTGGTGTTTCACCCCACAGACACCTTTGGCTGTGCAATGTGTGGTGTTTCACCCCACAGACACCTTTGGCTGGTGGCTGTGTGGTGTTTCACCCCACAGACACCTTTGGCTGGTGGCTGTGTGGTGTTTCACCCCACAGACACCTTTGGCTGTGCAATGTGTGGTGTTTCACCCCACAGACACCTTTGGCTGTGCAATGTGTGGTGTTTCACCCCACAGGCACCTTTGGCTGGTGGGTGTGTGGTGTTTCACCCCACAGACACCTCTGGCTGGTGGCTGTGTGGTGTTTCACCCCACAGACACCTCTGGCTGGTGGATGTGTGGTGTTTCACCCCACAGACACCTTTGGCTGGCTGGCTGTGTGGTGTTTCACCCCACAGACACCTTTGGCTGTGCAATGTGTGGTGTTTCACCCCACAGACACCTTTGGCCTGGTCTGTGTGTGGTGTTTCACCCCACAGACACCTTTGGCTGGTGGGTGTGTGGTGTTTCACCCCACAGACACCTTTGGCTGGCTGGGTGTGTGGTGTTTCACCCCACAGACACCTTTGGCTGGTGGGTGTGTGGTGTTTCACCCCACAGACACCTTTGGCTGGTGGCTGTGTGGTGTTTCACCCCACAGACACCTTTGGCTGTGCAATGTGTGGTGTTTCACCCCACAGGCACCTTTGGCTGGTGGCTGTGTGGTGTTTCACCCCACAGACACTTTTGGCTGTGGGTGTGTGGTGTTTCACCCCACAGACACCTTTGGCCTGGTCTGTGTGTGGTGTTTCACCCCACAGACACCTTTGGCTGGTGGGTGTGTGGTGTTTCACCCCACAGACACCTTTGGCTGGTGGGTGTGTGGTGTTTCACCCCACAGGCACCTTTGGCCTGGTCTGTGTGTGGTGTTTCACCCCACAGACACCTTTGGCTGGTGGGTGTGTGGTGTTTCACCCCACAGACACCTTTGGCTGGTGGGTGTGTGGTGTTTCACCCCACAGACACCTTTGGCTGGTGGGTGTGTGGTGTTTCACCCCACAGACACCTTTGGCTGTGCAATGTGTGGTGTTTCACCCCACAGACACCTTTGGCTGGTGGGTGTGAGGTGTTTCACCCCACAGACACCTTTGGCTGGTGGGTGTGTGGTGTTTCACCCCACAGACACCTTTGGCTGGTGGGTGTGTGGTGTTTCACCCCACAGACACCTTTGGCTGGTGGGTGTGAGGTGTTTCACCCCACAGGCACCTTTGGCCTGGTCTGTGTGTGGTGTTTCACCCCACAGACACCTTTGGCTGGTGGGTGTGTGGTGTTTCACCCCACAGACACCTTTGGCTGGTGGGTGTGTGGTGTTTCACCCCACAGGCACCTTTGGCCTGGTCTGTGTGTGGTGTTTCACCCCACAGACACCTTTGGCTGTGCAATGTGTGGTGTTTCACCCCACAGACACCTTTGGCTGGTGGGTGTGAGGTGTTTCACCCCACAGACACCTTTGGCTGGCTGGCTGTGTGGTGTTTCACCCCACAGACACCTTTGGCTGGTGGGTGTGTGGTGTTTCACCCCACAGGCACCTTTGGCCTGGTCTGTGTGTGGTGTTTCACCCCACAGACACCTTTGGCCTGGTCTGTGTGTGGTGTTTCACCCCACAGACACCTTTGGCTGACTGGCTGCTGCAGCTGAGCACGTGGAGACAAGTCCAGGCTTGAGGAGCTCAGGTTTCCCTTGGTGGAGAAGCTTTGAGGCGATGGTGAAGGAAAGGAGCCGGTTCTGAGGGAGGGTTTGGATCCAGAGCTTTATTCTGGCCCACAGGCCTCTGAATGCAGCACCAGCTCCAACAGAACTCCCTGGGCCCGTGGTTGCTGCTCCTTTAACCCCGGGGAGAGGGGCAGGGAAGGGGCAGGGAGCCACCAAGCGGGGACAGGAGGGGAGGGACAAAGGGCCAAAGGACACCTGGATGGCCCAATGTCCTCCAGGGGTGGAGGGCATCTTTGGAATTCAACGCCCTTCTGGAATGCCAGGAGTGACAGACAGTGCTGGGAGGGGAAAGGAGAGGCTGACACACCTGGCTGGGAATCATCACGGGAGGCACCCGAGGTTCTGGGGTAAACCTGAAATGACAACCCGGCACCCAGGGATGTGCACAGGCACCGCTCTGAGTGCAGGACATGCACTCACCTCCTGAGAACCCAGCTGGCCAGACGGCCACAGCAACCACTGCAAACAACCCTCTCCTGTCTGCCAGGTGTGTGCTGGTTTGGATACAGGCTCAAAGTGACTTCTGCTCAAAACACAGAATTCAAAACTGAAAAGGGGTGCACAACACAGCAACTGGGAAAAGAGCTGTTTCTACGTTATAAACAAGTCTTTTCAGGGGTGCAATTAACTTAGTATTTTTCCATAAGGCTAAAACTGATTTTCTTCTCAGTATCATCAGGAATTTTTCAATCAAGTAATAAATGAAGGTAAGCATAACTTATTTTTTGTTGCCAAGGACATGCTGAAGCAAAGCTAGACATCAGGATTACAAATACTATGTATGTACATATCACAAATACCTCTGAAACAGGATGACATGGTCACCAGAACACCTGTGGCCCCACTGCTGAGTTTGCTAAACACAAACCTGACGAATTTAGGGAGGGATGGGATGGGATAATACTGCCACAATGAGAGTCCTCACATTTTTCTTGGGTGCCTTTCCAGATGCCCTTTCAGGGTATCAAGAGTCTCTAATTTAACTCGAGAGGGGAGGAGCTGCACCTCAGTGACACTGTGCTGTCACCCTCAGCTGCTCACTGGGGACAGGTACAGCACAGAGCACCTCACACAGCAGCAGGGTACAGATCATTCCCTTTTCACAACACTAGAGTACAAATGCATTCCTTTTTCCTTTACTCTTGGCAGTGGTGATGCAGGAGAGAGAACATGATGCTGTTTTCAATTATGTTTGGAATGCAAGGAAATGAGGAACAAACCCATTCTCTTCATATTTCTCATGTAAAGTTTTATTTGCGTTAGTCCTTTGATAAAGCATTTTACTCTTACAAACCTTAAAACAACATGCTGAATTCCAGTGTACAAAAATAACTGTCTTTAAAAAAAATTTAATTTTAGCACAGTGTGACTGGAACCAAGTATGTTCTTGATGCTCCACTCCATTTTCCTCCAGCACATGACAGGAACAAGGACAGACTGAGTGGGAGAAGTGAAGTGTGCTCCAGGCCCAGCTGCTCACTCCTGCTCTGCTGACCGGCTGGCCAGCACAGGGTGGATCCCCAAAGCTGAGCCCGGGCTGGATGGCGCTGCTGTGGAGAGGGAGGGGGGACTGCTGCACCCCAGAGCACAGAGCGAGCCCCGGCCGTCCCTGCCAGGGGAGGGAGGTGCCCAGGCCCTGCTGCTGCCTGAGGGGATGTGCTCTGTACCCACCCTCCCGCCTTCAGGCCCAAAGCTCCTGGCATTGGCCCCAGAGGCGCTGTGCTCCAACAGCACAGCCAGGCCTCACTGCTGAGCAAACGAACCCTGCCAAGCCCAGCGTGCCCCCACAGCCCCGGGCAAGGAAAATGAATGCACAGCATATTGTAGAAGCCCTGCAGAGATGGAGAGGTCCCCGTGGCTGTGGAGATGGACAGCGAGAGTGGTGGTGCCCAGCAGGCCGGGACAGGGACAGACTCCAGTTCGTGTGCTAGGAGAGGGACAGGAGTAAAGACAAGGCAGAGCCAGAGCAGGGAATGCAGTGCTACCTGCCATCACCAGGATTTCTGCTTGGACTTCTTCTTCCTCTGTTTTATAAGGAACAGATTGTCCCTGTTAGGACTGGCAATTTTCTGCTTTTTCCAATTCTTCTTCCTTTTGGCACCTTCTGGGGGCTGGTGCACGCTGAGGGCCTTGCAGCCTGGGGGTGCCTGGGGCAGGGCCCTGCGTTGGGCCCTGCTGCCCTTGCAGCCCTGCTGCTTGTGCCCCCGAGGGAAATCCTCAGGGTCCCCGTGGATCCCAGCAGCCCTCCTCTGCCTCTCCTCCTGGGCCTTCTTCACCCGCTTCACCTTCATCTTCTTGTGCTGCTCGCTGCTCCTGCGGGGCTTGCCCTGCTGCTCTTTCCAGAGTTTGCTCTTTTTCTTGTGGCTGGGCACCTCGAGCTGCTCCTCCTGCAGGGGTGTTTCGGGCTGCTCGGGCAGGAGGCCAGCTTCCTGCAGGTCTGCAAAGCACAGGGGATTATTTCAGTACCCAACAACCCTACAGCTGGGCACCTGAGCCATCACACCTCTCCTCTGTATGAAGTTAAACAACAATTTATCTCTGGCAGATTTCTTCACTGTGGGTTTTTTTTCTGTCATCAGGCTAGAATCTTAGCGAATTGTGATTTTATCCCCTTCCTCCTACTTCATGGCACTTTTAATGTCAGCAGATTTTTCAGAATTAAAGCATCTGACAATGCTCCCTGAGTGACTTTGACACAGTCAATTTCCATGATAGACATAGATGAGTAAAGTCACAAATCTTTTACCACCAACAGGCTACCTGTTCAAATCCACACAGCTTTTCCCAACACATGGAAGTAATCCCACAATGCTTCCAAAAAGCACAAACACAGGACTGGAAGGTGGGAGGGATGTCCCAAACCACACTGTACCTGCCACTTTTCTTTTCAACCTGTTGGCTCTCCTCCTGATGTCGCACTCATCATCGTAGTAGTAGACGAAGGGAGAAGTGGGGAACATGTTCCCCTGCATCCTCTTCTCTGAGCACTCCTGCAAAACACATTCAGGTCACTAGAGCTGCCTGAGGTGGGATTTCCTGGAGTGAAATGGGCCAGGCCTGCAGGTTCTGCTCTGTCCTTGTGACATTCTCATGACCAGCTCGTGATTCTCCTGCACACACTGGTGCTGTCTGAGCACACAGAAGGAATTTCCTGCCGTTCCCTCACACCTGTAATACCCACAGAACAGGCCATGATGGCCAGGTGCAGACAGGCACGCACCAGGTGAGCTGCTGGCAGAGCTATTGGGCACAGGGACAGGGCAGTCCTGCTGCCAGGCAGGACCCAGCACTGCTGTGTGCGCACACGTGGCCCCTCAGAGGCACGCAGGGCGCTGGCAGGGCAGCCTGGCACTGGGATCCTTGGCATGAGGCTCCTGCAGCCCAGAGGGGACAGGGGAGCAGCCACGGGCTGCCAGAGCCCGCTCACAGCCAGGATGGGTGTCACTGTGTCACTGTGTGCCACGCCCTCACAGGGACAAGCCACAGGCAAAGCCTGCTGCAGGCTGCTGCCAACACAGCACACTGCAGGGGCAGGGCGAGGGTTTTCTGTTTCTAATGAAAGGGGAGAAAGAAGAGCAGGATGTCAGAACTCCGTACATCCCTCTGGGTGTCCAGAGTTGCCAGGACCCTGCCAGGGGGCTCAGAGACCCTGGCACACAGCCCAGAACACCTGTGGGTTTGATTACAACCCATGGAGCAAATTACCAGCTTTGTGTGAAGACCTGAAAGCCACAGAAGTTTAAGTAGTGTAATAATAAAATTATCACAAGGTGAAAAAGTAGATTTTAAGGTTTTTAGAACAGGGGTTTTGGGGACAAGATGGAGGGACTTGGGCGTGTCCAGCCTTTCTTCTTCTTCTTCTCTACCTCCATCTTCTGCCGTGATGTTGGCACTTTTGGATTGGTTTAGAGTAGCAGCTCAGTGTCTAACACAGGTGATGGGTATTGGAAAGTAATTGTAAACACGTTATGCGTAGTTTGTGGTATAAAGAGATAACACCACCTCAGGGGTAGGCAGAGTGCCTGGAATTGTCCTGCTGGATGGAGCTGGGCAGGGCAGGAGAAAAATTTTTATAGATAAGAAACAATAAACAACTCTGAGACTGAGAACTGAAGAGCTCTGACTCCTTCTTCAAACGTGGGGCCCGAAACAGAGACTGTTGACACGTGTCAGGGCTGCAATAACCTGCAACCTCCCGAGAGCAGGAGAGCCCTGAACAGAGAGCTGGGGCCAGGACGGCGCTGACTCTGGCATCATGGGCATGCCAGCCTATTCCCCAACACCTGCAACAGGAATGTAAGTTTTTCACTGCTGTGCACGCAGTTTGATCCATGTCTTGAGAGCCAGGCTAACAGGAACATTTCCTATGATTCTGCCTTTTATCTGGGTACCATGATATTGACAGGTGCTTTATTCTCCTTTATCCTCCTTGTAAATTGTCTGTTACCTGCTGTGCTTTGCTTCACCATTTTTCTCTTCTTAGATACTGCCGAGATCATAGAAACACAGAATCGCACAATGGCTTGGCTTGGTAGGGACCTTAAAGATCATCCCATCCCATCCCAGCCCATCTGTGGGCAAGAACACCTTCCTGCCACTGTCCCAGGTGCTCCAAGCCCTGTCCAGCCTGGCCTTGGGCACTGCCAGGGCCTGCCCTGTGCCAGGGAACGATTCCTTCCTGACAGCTGATCTAACTCCACTGCTGTCACTGTGAAACCATTCCAGCAGCACCTGGGCCTCTCCAATCTGCAGGAGCTGTCAGGAGCTCGCACTCACCTGATGCAAGCACCACGGCACCAGCAGCTTTCCTGCGTGTGCTGCTGCTGCCACTCAGTGCCACCCTGGCAACCCCTGGCCCTGCCTGCTCCTCTGTCCCTTCCAGAGGCACAGCACATCACAGATGCAGTTTTGATGTGTTTTGCATTTCTCAGCTTCTTTTTGGTATTTGCTTGCCCGAAATTTAGTGAAGAACCAGTTTTCCTGCATGTGTTTTGCCTGTTTTTGGGAATGGTGTGCACATGGGAAGATCTGGTTTCTCTGTCCCCTTGTCTTGGTATTGGCCTACCCCTTTCACTCAGCCCTTGCTCAGGCTGTTTCTGCTCCTTGTACACTACTACAAATACTTTATTATCTTCCTGAACTTTGAGAGACATAAAATGTCCACAAGTTGCTTTCCTCCCTTTCTGATTTTGTACAGTTCCTACCAGTTCCAATCTAAGTATTTACTATCAGCTCCTCATACATAATTTCTAATTATTTTTACATCAGCCTTAATAATGACTTAAATAATTGATTTACAGCAACCCTAATAATTCCTCATTACTCTTACAACAGCCTTGTATCTATGTGTGTCTGTCTTCCTCCAGTGCCATTTTTTGGACAGTTTAATAAAAGTGAAAGGCCCAAACTTTTAACAAAATGCACTGGATAGTTGAATGGGCTGACACACAAGAGCAGGCAGAAGGGCAGAGAGGAATTTGCTGGCAATTTGCTGTTTCTAAGCCACAGGAAAAAATAAGCTTAACCCATCCAATGCATGATTAACATTCCTTTTCTAGAATATTTGTGGCTTGGCTCCTGCACTTATTCCATAAAAGAACAAACCCGATTATTTGCTCTGTACTGGTAAGTGCAGGTACTGAAGCCACTTAAGGCTCATGATGTCTCCTTTACCAGGCTGCACCTTACAGAAGGACAATGCTAAACTTAGGTCAGATGTTGACCTAAACCAGGAAACTACAAGTAAGGATCATCACAAGGCAGGCAGAAATTGAAGGTTCCCAAAACACCACTCAAATAGTTGGGCTGAGTGTGGTGAAAAACCTGACATGATGCTGAATGTGGGGAAAAAAAGAAAGGGGGAAGAAAAGCTGTATCCAGCAACTGTTTCCAATGAATATTCTCTCTCCCAGGCAGTCTCAAATCAATGAACCTCCCTAGGAGAGATAGCAGCTGTTACCTGCCTCCCTTTCTGTAAATTAGGTGGGTGGGATCCCTTTACGCACTGGCCTCCACCGAGGCTGCTCACACTCCTCTTGTGTCACACACACCAGTGTGGCTCTTGCAGCTCTTCGCTCCAGCCCCACACAGACAGCGTGTGTTACAGATGGATAATGAGATGATTGACTCTCACAATTAAAAGATAACTATCGTGTGAATATTAAGAGAAGCTTTAGTGATGTATAGTTATGTATAGTTATGTTATTGTAGTTTAGATGCCCTCTGTTCTCCCCATAGTTCCCTTCCCCCCTGTATTGTTGCCATCAGACAGCCAGGGCTGTCTAGGACAGGTACAAAGAAGCTGCACAGGTGTCCCTTGCATGAGGCAGCTGGGAATGGCAAAGCTTGGGGGCGCTTAGGGCGTGCAGATGGCAACACCTGACCTGCAATCCAGTGACAAGAAAGCAGTTTCCACTGATAAATGGCAAAGAAGAGCGAACTGACAGAATCTGGGAGGGGCCAGGGCTGGCTGATGGAACCCCAGGGGTACAAAAGACTGAGCACCCATCTTGCAGATGAACCCGCCACGCGGAGTGCACGAGGGGCAGTTCGCAGCACTGCAGCTTTTTCCTGATGCAGCCCTTTGCTGCGTTTCTGTCCAGGTTTGATAAGCCCGTGTCTGTCTGTCCCGCCCAGGGATGGTTTGCCCCGGGTGCACCCAGACTCACGTATCCCAGGTGTCCCTGGCGGGAGCAGTTGTAGCAGTAGACGGAGACCGCGCGCTCCGAGGGCGAGGGCGAGCCGGCCGCCTGGATGGGTCCTGGCTTGGT